AACTAATAGAGACACAAACTTTGAAACAAACTTTCATGCTTTGATTCTAAAATAAATTCCACTTGTTATCTGCAAATTATCTGTAACGCACATGTTTGTGCAGCACATGTAGGCCTAACAATGTGTTACAGAGAATTATTCAGATACACCAACAATTTTTAGGAGAATTCAGTGGCTGAACAGAATAGATGATGAAGAACAAAGACAAACTATCACAGTTCACTGCCCTGAGTGTGAATAATTAGCTAGAAGTAAAAAAAACAAACACTTTAGTATCATCCCATTGCATCACAGAAGAAGCGATTATTCATATAAAGACAGTTACATTGTTTTCAATAGGAGCAAAAACACACCTGTTGGAGGTTTTAATAATGTCCAGCTGATGTAGCTAAAGGATGATTTCAGTGAAACTCTCAGAAAGTAATTACTGGATCTCCAACTGAATAACTTTGGAGTCAACTTGATTCAAGATGGCCGTCATTACTCAACCTCAGCAACTGCAAGATGGTTCATTGGTCAGTCATTAACTATAAATCAGTCAGTTTTACAGTTAATTCTTTAACATTAGTGGCAGCTGAGAGTCTCCCCAAATCAGGAGATCTTAAAGTTTAAAATGTTGATGGTGGCGATCAATATGCAAACTTCCAGTGAATGCTTGTTTGAATTTATTCATGTTTAAAAATGCCAGGTGATGTCAGTTCAAACAAGAAATGTGGTTATTTTAATGTTGTGTTTTATTCCGTATTAATAACCTTTTATCCTGCTGATTTTCTTTCATTTCTCTTTTGCTGAAAGAGAAACAACCATAAACACTGATGGAAGACTGAGAGATGGTGTTGATACTGACCTCTTCTGTTTTCTGAATGCACTGCAGACTGCAGATAATAACCTGAAAGCTATAAAAAAGATAAATAAAGATGAAAATGTAAAGTAAAACACTTTTGCTTTGGCACAGGTTAAATAAACATTCAGCATTTAATATAAAAAAGTAACAATACAAAAAATGGACAAGTTATCAACTTTTTTTTCACCCTTAAAGGGATCCATGATTAGTTGTACCATTAGACTTTACTTGATAAACATATATTTTAACTGTAAAATAA